GCGTTGGATAGGCTAATGTTTTCGGAACCTACGATATTTCTTCTCACGACCTATCGCAAAATCAAACATGAAAAATTCATCCGCATTTATTTTTTGTGCGGAACACATAAAATCAAATTACAATCTTATTTTACATTTTTTTCATTCTTAGGAATGTCTAAATTCAGTTAAACTAGCAATTCCGTATTATATTTATAAATTTTTATAACATTATACAAAAATTAGATTTTTCTTAAAAACTGAAATTTTGTCGGGAATGGGGCTTTAAATAAGGGCAAACAAACAATTTTTTTTTTGGCCTAACCTTATAGTTTTGGCCTAGGCTAGGCTGTAGGTAGTAACTCACTGCTCTTAGATCTGACAGGGCATAGGCCTACCGCCTAGGCCTAGCTTTTGTTGAGAAGTAGGCCTAGCCTAGTTTAATAAGTGCTGCCAGGGCGGCCTCTAGCCTAGTCAGCCTACGACTACTACCTAGGGCCTAGGTCTACTAGGCCTACTAGCCTAACTAGGGGGGCCTAGGCTAGCTAGTCGGTATGCTTTTTCCATGTATTATTAAACTCACCGCAGAGCTGCTCTAAGCAGCATTTCTGGAGGACAACGAAATACAGCTGACATGTCTAATTAAAATAATCTCTTTTATAAGTTTAAAAATCAGAAGCTCTTTTCTATACAATTTTGAAATTTACGGCCTGCTCCACTCAAGCGTCGCACCGGTTCACTACTTAAAGTAAACAAGTTCGGACTCTTATTACATAATGAAATCCAGGCCCTTCGAAGTGAACTTGATGTCACAAAACTTTGAGAGTTAGACCCAAATACTCATTTAAAACTAACTTTCTAACATTTTATTCCAAAAACATCCACAATAGGTAAAAATTAAAGATGGTAAGTAAACTTTCGGCACCTGGAATCCAACCACATACTTTCAATTGGCGGAAATGACAGCTATGCAAAAGTAAAAAAGATCGACACTAGCTCTACTTTCAGTCTGGCACAACGGCTAGAGACGGTGAGAGCAAAACAAAAAGTTGGTAATGGAGCGTTCCGCTTCAAAACCCCATACCGCTCGTAAGTTATCCCGCAATGTTTTTGACGACGATGATTATGTTCGAGCTTTTATGTTGAGGAAGAGGATGGCAAGCTCTAAAATCAAGAATTTACTTTCCGTATTTGAGGATGTAGAATCGACAGGTAAGAATTTCAACTTTAAGGCCCAGTGATGTGAAAATCAGAATGAAGAACCTTTTAGATTAAGAAACAGAACCTAATTTTATATTAATGATGAGCCTGACAATAGACAGGCATCCGTTCGATCACCTGCGATCACAGGTAACTGGATAAGTGGTCGTCATCTAAGAGATGCCTGGCCTATCATCAGTGGATATTTTTGCCTATAATAATACTAATGGTCGTGATTATTTGTATTTTAACTATCAAAATTCATTCAAATGATATTAAATGTAAAAAACAAACAAACAAAAAATCATTGTGGAATAATAAATAAAAACATAATAGCACAGGAAACTGGTAAAGTAAAACAAGAATAGATGTAAAACATGTTAATTATAAAATTGGTTAATGGTAATGTTAATAAGTATTATGTACAATAAATATACTCCATTGGTACAGACTGCTGGTTGATTTTAGTAGGCTAAGTAAATTATGTATCAGTCAAAGAGATTCGAGTGTCAGGAAAAGTATGGTCTAGGGATCTGACAGCCCAAGTAACTTGGCATTGTTGGTGTTTATTTACTAGGTCTATTTTCCTAGAGTATGTAAAGAATATTTGACATTACTGTATCTCTTTTCCAGTGGTGGTAAAGGAAGTAAATCGTAAATAAATACAATCATTCCACATTATTTCTGCTTCAGTGAACAGATTTCAGTTTTGATACAGACAAACGCAATATGTTATTGTTACCAGTTCTAAATACACAATAACATGCATTCATCCAAGGATACATTTGATTGGTTTATGTGTTTTCTTTCAAAACTCTTCGATTAGAATATATTCTTTTTTAATTATTTAAAAGAGAAATATTGACAAACCTAGGAAATGCATTGTTTATAATAATTACAGTAATGAATATGCCTTTTTTTTAAATTCTTTTTTAGTGAAATTTTGCCGGAAATGGGGCTTTAAGTATAACTAAGGCAAAGTTTTTAAAAAATAGTGTCTTGTCTGAACATTGCAAAAGCTTTCATGAGTAAACATAGAAGCAACTACTTTTCTTCACAATGAATTCCATGTATTAGTTTCAACCACACTGTCAGCGTACTCCACGTGGTTACCTATGATACAGATAATGACCTTTCTCATTTCCAATTTGTGACGTCCTTAAACTACCCATTTGTGATGCAACTTCCTTGCACATTTGTTCAATCCATGTGTGTGCGTTTGTGTGTGTCTAGCTCTGAAAACTGAAATACTTTATCACAATGTGCGAGAATGTCCCTGTAGTAATGTTATACATGGACTTGATACCACAGTTGGACCAAGTACGGACCTCAGTCACATGCACCCCAATAGCAGTTTCGCTGCGGCCCATGAAAATAAATTATGGGTGTAGCCTGCCTACCAATTTACAAAAATATACAATACAAATCATAACATTGTTTATATAAGTTGTCAATTAATATATTTTTGAATCGCTGTTGGTAGGAATGAATTTTTAAAAATCTGTTTTTTCTTCATCTTATGTAATGTATGTAATATGTTAATATTTGATATTAAAAATCCTACTGTTATATAGAACATTGGCGTTATGATAGCATTCATTTGTTAGCAAGAAAAAGAACCACTGATAAATGACTCACGTATGCACCGAAATACAAGTAATTACTAGAACCTTGTCTCGACCACGTAGGATAGTGTTATGACGTTTATGTGGGAAGTGATTAATTGATAGTAAATCTAGGGAATCAGATAGCGATAAAAAAAGATAAAGCACCTTTTCCAAATCTGAACTACTTAATCAGATTCATCAATGTGGCAGTTCACGTTCATACTCGTTATATAGGTCAGTATTTTTTTTTTTTTTGGTTGGTTAAGGTAGTGATCAACTTAAAATCACATAGAAATGTGTTTAAAAGTTTTAGTTGGAAATGAGTAAGGATAAGCAGTGGAATAAAATATGATCAAATGATACTACTAAAGTGTTCCAATTCTAGACACCTCTAATTCGGAGATGACTCTAATTCAAGACCACTTTTTCAAAGAACAAAATTACGATCTTAATCTATTAACACTAAGCTACAGTAACCCCTCTATGTAGTAGTAACCAAACCCCAAAACCACCCCAAATTTTCAGGTCCCAAGGTGGTCTCGAATTGGTGAGCAAACTGTAGTTGCTCACTGATTACTTGGAAAATAATGTAATATGATAATATGGTATGATATTTTATATTGTACATTTATATGAACAAAGCTCTTCAATAATCTTCGGCAAACACTACAAACATGTCGTCGCTCACATCACGAACTAACACAATTAAATTCAATTGTGTTAGTTCGTGAAATCAAAAAAGCGCGTCAAAATACGCGCTGTTGTCGTTAAGGACTTTTTGTGTGGTAAAGAATACAAAATTGCTTGACAACCAATACGCGCTCGTTTTGACACGCTACTGTGATTTCACGAACTAACACAATCTACTTGGATTGTGTTAGTTCGTGATGTGAGCGACGATGTGAGTACTGTAAAATTGTTTGTACCCATCATATCTGCTATAAAATATCAAGTAAAAGAATATGTTTGAACAATTAATTTTATGTATGATTGATTTATTGCATTGGTAGAACGGCTTTGAAAAAGTGTTCACATTCTTTTATTGAATGATATTTATATGTCTATTTTGGTTATTTTATGAACACTTGTGTGGATTCACTTAAGTTGTTGAAGTTAGATCCTTTGAGTTTTGATGTTGGGAGAGTGATTTCATTTCATTTATTTAACCAAAAACAATTACATTATAAAAGGATAAAACAGTCAAAAAGAACAAGGAATTAGAAATTGTTGAATTGTTCTAATCTTGAACCAGTTTAATTTTATCTTCTTGTTTATTGCATTTCACAAGGCAACAGCATAGTAATGGTCAGTGTATCCCCTTGACCCAAGAGCTAAATGGTCAATTAAATAGAAAGTACCTATACTTGCTAGGTACTTTTATTAAGATAATTAAACTCAGGTCTTGCAGTATAACTTCCAAGTTCGAGATATGAATCGCTACTGTTTTTTTAATTTTATCAATTGACTATTATATTTAACCATATTTTTATAGGGCTACTGTAATGATAGGAAATTTACCAAGATCATTTCCTGAGCAATTTAGCATTATCACTTTGAATGCACTTGAGATATTGGTGGAACAACAGGTTTGATTGTCGGTAACCCTTGGTTTTCCTAACCTTACACTTACAGACTTTTGTGTTTTTTCAGTGAGCATATAGTTTTTCATAATTTGTGGAACCTATGTTCAAATACACTTTGTTTATAAATTCTTTGGGAAAAAGTAGGAGATTGTTTCCCATTATTATTTTTCGTGGGGTGTTCGCTTTAGAGAGATAATAGGCAATTTGTTGGTTTATCCAGGTAAGTATCCACTCCATAGACTACCAACATCACCATTGATTTGTGTAATTTATTGAGCAGTGAAAAAGAAAACTATCTTGAAGAAGTGACACCGGCAAAATGTTTTCTGTACACTACAGCCCAACAGTGGTATGGAGTGAGTGATTAAAAAATATTGGGGAGAAAATGTGCAATGCTCTATTAACTTACTGTCAAAGGCATTGCAATGTGTTATTGTTTATAATATGATCATAATATTATTCATAATATTATTATGTTTGTTGATTATATTTTTTAGTTGCCTATTCTTAAGATGCAATACTGAGTTTACTTACTTGTTACTTGTATAGCGCCTTTCTTTTCAGTTACGAATTGCTGTAAGCGACTCCTCAATAAGTAAAGTTTGCATAGAACCAAACCCAAGCAAAGTATGCTAGCTTAACTAATGCGCACAGTAGAAAAAAAGAAAAAAAACAAAACAATAAACAAATACAATTTGCAATGTGAGAGGAACTGTTGAAAAAGGTGTGTTTTTAAATAGGCTTTGAGAACTGCCTAAGCGAATCACGAGATTTGTTTTTTGGTAGGTGTGCTGCCTGTGGTTTCTACCTGCTGGTTATAGTACTCTTAAACTGCTGTGAATGGCACACCTAATTGATTAACCATCCATTTTTTGATTGCTTCCTCTTTGTGTTATTTTTGTTTTTTTCTGTCCGTTACAAAAAATGTTTAAAAAAAACATTTATACAAAATCATATACAAGACCGGAGATATGAGATAAGAGATATGGAATACAAGATTGATTTTTATAACAAAAAAACTCCAACTAATGCTTAATAAATATTTGAAAAAAAATATTTATATCCCCATCGGACACGAGTGGAGGTGTATCTTTATAGCAAAGTTACTACTTAATGCTCTTAATTTGATAGTTGCAAAGCTGTCACCTAGGTAAATATGACATATTAAGTTTCAATTTAAATATAAAATAATATTCAAGGATAAAACTAAAAACAAAAGAACGTAAATTCAAAAATGGCACACTTACTTGGTTAATCACTCAGATCTTTGATTTGCTGCCTCTTTGTGTTAGTTTTGCACTTGTTTTTGTCTGTCAGTTAAAAATGAAATAATATTCAAAGATTAAATTACAGACAAAACAATGTTAAATATCAATTCAAAAACATTTTAACTTACTGTCTAAAATTGCCGTCTTCACTACTGTAATCTAGTATGGGGTAGATCTACTTATTTTCCAAAAAACAAATTACAAGTCTTACAAAATAGAGTAGTGAAAATCTCAATGTGCGAAACAAGCCTTCTGAGTAAAAATAAAGTTGTATTATAATAATAATAATAATAATAAAAGTTTATGTGGGAGTAAAAGTTTGCCTTGTTCATTTAGATAGCATAACATCCTTGTACTTTCAGACTATATAGTAAAATTATTATTCTTATATTCTGATGTTATTAAAGTCAATATCAATTATAAATATGCTGATTCTTTGGTTTGGTACTCTCCTAACTTAAAAAAAATAAGTTTTAAATTATATTTTAAGTTATTTCACCTTTTTTATTTATAGTTCATTTTTTTTCAGTTTGTTTGGCCTTCCCAATTTCATATGGTCCTACATTATGCCATTTTAATAAGTCCTGGGCCATTTAATCGGACCAGTGAGAGCGCACCGAAATTTCAATCCAATTCAATTGTGATGGAAATTAAAGTGAAACAGATACCAACCAGCCACTGGATTGGTTAGTTTCTAATTAAAATAACCTACTATATAAAAAGTAGGATTTCTATTTCGTTTTCAGTGATATAGTTTGGACAATGTTATAATAATTTTGATGTTATTTCCTCTCCACAAAGATTTCTTCATTATCAGTTTCTTTTTCTTTGCAACTGTAATAGTTGTGTACAATATCTATATCAATCGGGTGGGATTGAGGAGATGGTTCCTTCTCATAATAATGGCCAGTGAGATGGCTTACACTGTCTCATAATAATATTTTATGTATTTGGGATGGCTCATTCTCATAATGACCTAATGAGATGGCTTATTCTCAAAATAATGACCCTTTGGCATGTACTGTACAGTATGTATTACGTATGGGACAGTTCATTCTTATACAGTAGTTGCCCGATAAGATGGCTTATCTCATAATAATCTCTCTTCTTCTTTTATTCTTTAATTATGGCTTTATTGTATTTTATTCACTTTGGCCCTCTCTATTTTGTAACAAGCCCCTTCGGGCTTCATGAGGGTTCTGTTTTTTTCGGTTTAAATTCTCGTCTCTTAATTTTATGTACCTGAATTTGTTTTTAATGAAATAAAGAATTTTTGTGTTTGTATTTGTATTTGTATCATCTAGAATAGAAATAATATTCTTTTTCATCATTTACAATGGAAACAATTATAATTTTTTTTTTTTGGTAAAAAGGTTGAAAAGGGGCAACTACATGCCTATCATGTTTAACATCCTATAAAATCAAATTAATATATAAATTTTTTAAAAATGCTTCATTAGGCCTAATAATAAATAATAATTATAAGGTAAAAATATGTCATAGAGAAAAATCGAAATGGAAATCGAAGTTACAACCTTTTATTGAAGTAAAAATTCTTTGAATTTGGTTTTTGAAAGCATTTGTATGTTTAATTTCAAGGATGTGCTTTGTTATTTCATTCTATATTTTGGTGCCTACAGAGGTGATTGAACAGTTTCTAGACGTAGTGACTGCCTCCGGCTGATATACATTTCCCTTTGATTTTTTCCTAGTGGGATGGGCCAGTGGGATTGCCCTTCTCATAATAATGCCCCAGTGAGTAGGTTTATTAGCATATGACCCAATGGAATGGCTTCTTCTCATAATAATGACCCAGTGAGATGGCTCACTCTCATTACCCAATGGAATGGTTAATTCCCATAATAATGACCCAGTGGGATGGCTCACTTTCATAATTACCCAATGGAATGGCTTATTCTTATAATAATGACCCAGTGGGATGGCTCACTCTAATAATTTCCCAATGGAATGCCTTATTCTTATAATGATGACCCAGTGGGATGGCTCACTCTCATAATTGCCCAATGGGATGGTTAATTCTCATAATAATGACCCAGTGGGATGGCTCACTCTCATAATTACCCAATGGAATGGCTTATTCTTATAATAACGACCCAGTGGGATGGCTCACTCTCATAATTACCCAATGGGATGGTTAATTCTCATAATAATGACCCAGTGGGATGGCTCACTCTCATAATTACCCAATGGAATGGGTAATTCTCATAATAATGATCCAGTGTGATGGCGCACTCCCATAATTACCCAATGGAATGGTTAATTCCCATAATAAATGCCCAGTAAGATGGCTTTTAATGACCCAGTTGGATGGCTCACTCTCATAATTGCCCAATGGAATGGTTAATTCTCAAAATAAATGCCCAGTAAGATGGCTTTTAATGGCCCAAAGGGATATCCCAGTGAGATGGCACATTGGCATACATGTGTATTCACCATGTTACCAATTCTCAGAATAATGGCTTACTACAGACGTTCCAACCACTAGACCTAAAAAATCTGGAGACGTGTCCGAGAGATAGCATGTAAATTCGGGAGACGCCCGATCGAATTAGGAGCATTGGAACCTCTGCCAATGAGATGGCACTTTGGCATATATGTGTGACACAGTGTTACCCAATTCTCAGAATAATATAACTGACATTAAATCACCTAAGCTACTGTATATATTGCTTTTTCTTAATTTTTTTTTTTTTTTTTTCAAAGTCATGTTTAGTGTATATACTGTACTATCTCGAAAAGAATCCTATGCTATCTTGAAAAGAAGCTCATGGGCTTCTTTTCGAGGCTAATTTTGCAAACTAAAGAGGGGGTTTCAATTCAAGATGGGGTTCATCTCGAGATTAAGCAAACTGGGCTTCGATTCGAGGTTTTACGGTATGACATAATGGGGTGGACATTTCCATGATGAGGCCCAATTCAAAGTCTCATTAAGTTGCTTTATACATAAAACTGCTAAAGTTCATGCTATTCATTCAGATTTTTTACAAAACTTAAAAAGTGCAGTAAAGAATTCATTAATTCTATATGGAATATTATTTTAATGGATAGTTGCTACCAAATAGAATTATAACTATATTAATTATTTTAATCAAAGATGCATTGATCAATATTAATGAGATGTTTAGATATCAAAAGGATACTGAGGGTTTGGTACATGGTGCAAGTACATACCTGAGTAGTAAGTGACAAGTAATAAGTAATCAGTAATATTACATAAGATCACAGGGGTCCCAGGTTGGAAGAACCCATTTCTGGGAGATTTGTTTAATGATATTGGGGGCGCTATATATTCTATGAGGAGAAAGTGTAGGTACCAAACAAAGGCCCATGCCCACCTCAGGCCCACCATGATTGGGAATGAGGTGATGTCATTTTTTTAGAATAGGCACCTTTTGAAGCCTGGAAATGGCACTGTCAGACTGCAAAAAATAATCGGCAACCAAAATTTAGGCCTAAAAAAAAACAAAAAGATTTGTTTTTTACTGAATTTGCGGGAGATAAGTGAATTTCCAAGAGATTTTTGCCTGTTTGCAGGAGTGTGAGCAGGGGCGGATCCGGGGGGGAATATATTTTGCATGACTCCATAACAATAGCAACACAACCTAATGCTTTAGATTAGAATGCCGTGTATGACTGTCTTAGTGTTACTTTTTTCAAAAAATTTCCTAGTATTTGGAGGGGATTCCCCTCCCTTGGTGCTTCGCAACTCAGCTCAGAGCTTCGCACCAAGTGAGGCCCCCACCCCCAAATTTCATCCTAAATCTGCCCCTGGGAGACCATACCGATTTCAGGGAGACTCCTGGGAGTTCTGGGAGACTTGGAACCCCTGATCAGTGATGGTAAAATCAGATTTGCTATGTTATACCACAGACCTTATTTATACAAATGCTCTATTGCCTATATAGTATGGTACCATGATTTTTAATATGACATACATCAAGAAAGGATAATTGAATATGACCTGTAGTAAACTTTAATATTGCAGGTTGAATACAAACATTATCCATGTATTTTTTATTACTCTTAGATATTTAAACATTGTATTCCTTTTTTTTGGAACTTCAGGAAATTACACATGTTTTTACAAGTCCTTCAGGATAGGGAAACGGTATATAAATAAAACTACCTCCCATAATAACTTGCATTATGTTGTATGGAATTTACCAATAGTGGAATACATCACAATGGATGACCAGCAAGATAGCAACGATGAAGAAGGCAACAACATTATGTTAGCCCAATGTATTCAATGTAGACGGATATTTTCAAATAAGAAATTATATTTGGACTTCATTTACAATTCATTATGTTCTGTTAAAGGTGACTACAACGAATCTGGCAGTACTGTCAAAAAGAAAGAACGTATACCAGTGGATAAACAGTGCCTAAAGAAGAAGATTGATGCCGCCAACATGATAGGAACATCACGACCTAGGTGTGAACATGGTTCCCCATTATCAAGTAAATCTCACTTCAGCACTGATGAGGATGATGATAAACACGGTAGGTCAACAGTTTTTCATTATTTTATTAATAGGCAGAATTTATGAAAATAAATGTTTAATTGTGTATGTAAATACACATGTTAGGGAATGCACCATAAACTTAAGTTAGAGCAGTGAAACAGAAGCCTTCAACAATGAAGTTTGCTTCTAAATTGAAGAAGTACAGTAATTTGTTTTCATCAGGATGATGTAATCTGGTAGACATTCCTTCAGTGACTACCAAACCATGTGTCAGATAGCAAGAGATCTCCAGTTATACTCTAATCTGTGGTGACTGAAGATCTTGTCTAGTACAAAGAGTTTCCTCTTATCAAACCTCCTTACATTTATATGTTCTTTCTACAGTATGCTAAAAAAATGTTTTAGAAGTTATTTTTTATTCATACTTTCATATCTGTTCTTCTGTTTTCTAATTCTTGGCCACTCTTGATCCATCTATTATTATTATTATTATTATTATTATTAAAACTTCATTTTTACACGGAAAGCTTGTTTCACCAAGAGGGTGTTATTCTACAAGGCCGTGTTGTCATTGAAGTTGCAAAATAACAGTATAAAAAATAAAAAAAAAATAAAAAAAAAACTAACACATAATCACAAAAAAAGATAAAATTATATACAAAAAGGAGATACAAAAATCATTCTATCATTTCATTTGTGCACCTCAACTGCTGTGTCAAAGCACTCCTACTCCTACAGTTTCCCGCTGAAGCAGGCACAGCTTACTGTACAACTTACATGTGGTGTCCCACAGGGAACCAAACTTGGACCCATATTATTTCTCATCCTTGTCAATGACATCTCTATAGGAAGCTGCAGTGGAGGGAAATTTGTAGATGACCTAACGATTGGTGAGACTGTTAAATACAGAGGTCCTCAACTCCTGCAAATCAGTCTTGATAATATAACGAACTGGTGTCATTTGAATAATATGATCCCGAATCCAACTAAGTGTAATATAATGAGAATTAATTTTCTGCTAAGAGAAATTCCTCCCCCTATATTCTCCCTTGATAGTACTGTACTCAAAGTTGTGCAACATATGAAATTATTAGGTGTTACCATCCAAGATAACTTAAAATGGGATTTGCATGTTGGCGACATTATTAGCAAGGCATCTCAACGACTATACACGCTATGTATATTGCGCAGAGCCAAAGCCCCCATAGATGATATAACGTGTGTTTAACTTAGCTACATACGCCACTTATTAGAGTATGCATGGCCGGTTTGGCATGGAGCCATCACTCGACGTCATAGTCATCAAATTGAACGGGTACAAAAGAGGGCCCTTAGAATCATCCTGGGTTCCAACTATATCACTTGCTCTGTGCTACCTTAATCTTCAGTCTCTTAAGGCTAGACGTGAAAGTATTCTACTTACTTTCGGTAAAAAATTATGTCATCAGACAAATATCGCAAAATGCTCCCTCCTGTTCGTAAGACATCTAGAGGTCTTAGAAACAGTTCTATAAACAAACTTGAATTTAGTAGGTCCAAAACAGAACATTTTAGAAAGTCACCAATTCCAACATTAGTGCAATTGATTAACAACGAACTAGCTGCGTAGGCTGGAATTAATCCTTTGACTGTTGATTTTTGATTTATATTTTTAATCTCATGTTTATATTGTTGTTTCTCTTTTTGATATATGTGAGTTCAACGTTTTCAGCCATCTGGCTGCCTGTTGTACATTTTATACCGAAATAAATAAATAAATAAAAATATAAGTGCCTAAAGCCCTGTCGACACTTTCAAATTTTCTTTGACAAATAACTAACATATATAGTCATGGTGTGCCTATATATGGTCATGATGTGATGTCATCATGTCATTTGATGCGCTTAACAAAATAAAGATTATAGTTAACCCTGAACCGCAAAATATGGATTGCTTATACATGGCAACCTAGATTATGCTCTGTTCACTGGCAATTTATGGCACAAAGAATCAGTCCATATCTCACAACATGCTTCTGCTAACAATATAATGGAGGGATTTAGGGAAGCTAAGTAAACGAGGAAAAGAGTAACATGGGCTGAAAGCTGAAATTAGTAGTCCGGCAACTAGAAAAACAAATTCCCAGTTAATGTCTTCAGATGCCAAATACAAACAATCCTAATTTCATCATCACATTGACAAATATTTAAATCAATTTCTATTGATTTGGAAATGATGTGTTTGGCTAGTCTACTTAAGATGTTAACCCAGAATCTAGTATATGTCATAACTGAATATGAACATAGGGTATGCCCTATGTAATGTAGTCCTATAGTCATGGCCTGAATTTGCTTTAGCTGTGGTTTAGCAGACAGTTTTACAGGAAGTTAACTAAATATAAGTTAATCTGGTTTGTCAGGTGTGGTCCTTGATCATCAACATTGACCAGCTAGGCTGTTAAGTCTATCCTATTTAATGTGTTTAATATACAATATTTTACCATAAGTAGATTTTCATCGTGTTTCAAAAACTAACTGATAGGAGTATTTCTCTAATTTTAGTCACTGTGTTAGATAATCAGGAATCATTCCTGATGATGACATAATTAATGTTGAAATATTGACTCCCGACACGTTGGTGTGTTAGATAGTAATATTTGAAACTATTCAGTTAGTAGATTCAAAACATATATCGTATTACTGTTCAATTAAAAGTTAATATACAGTATGAAATTATTTTTGTATTCGTTATTTTCTCTGGTAATTTAGGAATCATAACCGGTGACGCATATATTAAATTGAGTTTCATACTGTAAGGATTGTAATTCAGGTCTGTTCTGAAACTACCTTTTAAAAATTTCACAATAGATATTAGTTTCAATTGTCAAATTTTGCCATAGATACTGTCTAATACAAACACATTTTTTGTTGGTTGTAACCTTTACTGGAGTTTCATTGTAACTTTGAATTATTCTACATTACATCTGAAGAGACGACAGTTTTGTAAAAAATCTTGCGTTTTTTTAAGTGAATTATTATTCTCAAGTTAGGTATATCGTTTTACTTTGGTGTATTATACAATGGATCTTAATTTCTGTTACCAGTAACTTAAATCCTACAAATGTATTGGTGCCCCTGAGTGTCTTCCTAAAAGAATATTTTGGAAATATGGAATTATGTATACAGGATATTTTGTTGATTCATGCGTTTTTCAACGGGAAAAAATTAATAGTGGCAGAAAGGAAAGACCACTTGGAAAATGTTTTGAAGGTCAGTTTAAAATACTATTGTTTGGTAAGGTTTAGACATAGGGGAACCTTGGTTAGTACCTGGGATTTCCACTCCGATAATTGTATATACAATCATTTGTTTATTTGAATGTATATTTAAATCTAATGATGTATTGTTATTTCCATTTTTTTTACTCATTTTCTTACCCTGGAAAATACTTATAAAAGGCCTTTAGGTAAATTGCAAATCCATCTAAATTCATTTAAGTTATTAGATTTTTTCAAATTCCATCCAACAATTTGTAATTTGAATACTATAATAATAAATAAACAGACATTTTGATGTATTTCCTTTACAGTATATTTATTTGGAATGTTATTTTAAAGATATGATTAGCTTAAATTAAGTCATGGAATATTATGGTCAGGTGTATTTCAAATATTTAATATAAATTGTATTTCCTGTTTCCTGTAAGTTTCCTTATTAATGTCACCAGTTGCTATAAATATAAACTATAGAGGGCAGCATACAAACTATAATAAGGTGTTGTCAGTGATGGGATTCAGTGCGATATTATGTATATCTAAATCCTCTGGATTACATTTTCAATGACACATTATACTTGTTTTCAGAATTTAATTAACATGCAAACTAACAACAAAAGCATAATAATTATAATATAAAAACTAGTACAGTTTAAAAAATATGGCAATAAAAGAAAAAAAAAGAAATTCTATACCCTTAATTTTCTTATTCAAAATGATAAAATAGCTAAATTATAAATGTGACACAATTAGATGTAGCATAGTGGCATATTTAACTTAAACAAAGATTATAATTATGATGAATGGTGGTAATGTAAGGCTCATAAAAAGTGATTACAATATTTTTTTTTAAATCTCGGGCACATAATATTTTATAGAATTTCAAATTAACTTTTTGTTTGCTAATACATAAAAGTATTTATATAATATGAAAAACACACTTCTGCTACCATCTCTTTTTCAAGAGGATTACAGTGATAATAATTATATTATGAGCCCATTATCTATGAAAGTCATGTATTATTAGACCTTGTGTTTACTCTGACTTAGCCCTGCTCAGATACCGCTTAGGCGTATCTATTTAAATTTCTCTCGGCGGTATATCATTTTATTTGTTGAATGCATCAACTTGAGAACATTATTTCTGGAGTACTGTTGTTTTTTTTTTATATATAAAAGTATAAATATAAACCCACTCTTCTGCCAACATAATTTTTTCAAGAGGATTACAGTGATAAATGTAATAATTATATATGGGCCCAATATCAGTGAAACTCAATATTATTTGACCTTGTTTACTCTGACTTTTACTTCACTTGAGATTGTAATCTCTGAGTACTTTTTTATACATAAAAGTACAAATATATGATAAAACCACTCTTCTGCCCAGTATAATTTTTTCAAGAGGATACAGTGATGTGATAATTATATTTTGGGCCCAATATCAGTGAAACTTAAATATTACAGTATTAGACCTTGTTTACTCTGACTGTGTTCAGTTGTTTACTCTGATCCCTGCTAGATACCACCTTAAATTTTCTCTGTATGTTACTATATATCTTCTTGTTTGTTTAAACTGAACTTAAACTGAGCCTTCTACTTGAGAGATAGAGTAATCTATGGAGTACTGTACTCATGGTTTCTGTGTGACCTTCATTGTTGATACAGTGTTATCCTGTGTGGTCGCATCTTAGTGGTTTCTTAATAGTACTGTATAGTATAACATTATTTCTGAGCCTATGTACGATTGTAACTAGTATTTAAGAACATTATATGGAATTAGAATATTTTAAAATGGATACATGCATTCCATTTTTATTTGGTAGTTTAAGGCCTGCAGAGGCCAACTTTAATGACATGTGGGTGGTTCTGGTTGGGAATTCCATTAGTTGGCAATACAAGAACCTAGGCCTAACCTTGTTAGAACAGTGGAACAGTGTGGATGATAAATCAACCATTATGTTGGTAATTTTATACAATTTCATATTTTAATACTTAATAATTCCAGTAATAATAGAAGGATTTTTGGTATTATTATCTTATTATTTTTGGTTTTTTATCCTCACCTAGTTTCTCACTGATGTAGGTTCCCTCCACCACAATAGTCTGTTGCTCTTCCTTTCGAATTGAGCCAAAATAGAGTAGAGTTTCATCCAGCAAAAGCAAATAAGTCTTTATTTTTAATGTTTATTATATACCAATAGCGTTAACAAATGAATGGCATAACTTTCAAAGAGGCAGATTCATGCTGTAGAGTATGTTTGTAATGGTTCACTTAACTATGATCAGCATCATCATGGACCGTGTCACATAATGTTGGCGATCATGACTTTCCACAATTCTCTGTCTCTGGCCACTGCAAAAATCTCCCACCCTCTGATGTTCCACAGCTCGACCATACTCTTCAAGGAATTTACCTCTACTGTACCTCTCTTCAGCCCGTGATGTATCCTTAATGTTTATATTCAAGGGTTTCTTTCCTTATAAGATAACCCAGAAATACTAGTTGTGTCTTTCTTATGTTTGCTATCAAACTAAGTGTAGTCCCTGCCTTGTTCTTCTATGATATCAACACATATTGCAAAATAAATATGTTACTAAAGGCTCATTTTTTAAGATGATGGTTACATTATAGTAAAACATATTCTACTACTTGGACTGATAAACTAAGATCCTCATTATTATACAAATATATATATATATATATATATATATTTGAGCCAAAATAGAGTAGAGTTTCATCCAGCAAAAGCAAATAAGTCTTTATTTTTAATGTTTATTATATACCAATAGCGTTAACAAATGAATGGCATAACTTTCAAAGAGGCAGATTCATGCTGTAGAGTATGTTTGTAATGGTTCACTTAACTATGATCAGCATCATCATGGGTACAAAAATGGCACCAGCATACGCTAATATATACATGGCCCACTTCGAAGATTCATACGTTCACCGATATCCCCTACAGCCTTTACATTACGTCAGATATATCGATGATATATTTTTCATCTGGCCACATGGCGAACATGCACTCAAAGCG